TTGCTATTACTGAGACAAATTGCATCAAAAATTACTGGGGGTACCAATGTGTAACATTGTAGTCTTCAATATTTTTCTTGGTGGCACTCTGCTTTTGTTTTGCTTTTACTAAAAGTAGTAGCTCCTTGTAGGTCTGTGTTAGATCTTTACTAAAACTACTAGGAAATTTAACACAAGCAAATAAGAATAAATAGAATCAGTCACATGGTTTACATGTTACATTCTTCCTGCTGCTCATCAAAAGCAAAAACAAGAAGAATAGGAAGCAGAACAATATAAAATCACTAGAAGAACAAGAAGAGGAGTGGTAGCAGTACTAAGATCAACAACAGTATAACTAGCTACATGACTAATTTTGCTATTTATTAGCTTTTATTCTTCTTCTTTCTTCAACTACTACTACTACTACTACTACTACTACTACTACTACTACTACTACTACTACTACTAGTACCAGAAATATTTTTGATATTCTTGTTACATTTAGTATCAGCAGTAGTACTAATCAAAGCAATACTATTGATGCTACTACAACTGGTACTAGTACTGCAACTTGCTTGATGCCTTCTACTATTAAAGTATTTCACACTAGTAATAGTAGTTAGTATCAAGTAAAAAAGTACATTGGCAAGGAGGACAGTGTCAACAACAAAACTTGCTGTTGTTCCTATTATAGGAGGGGCATTACTAGTACTAGGTGCTGTTATCAAACAACATGAGGAACATGCTTGAACAGTCCATCATGAGGTGCTACTACTAGTATTCTTGTCAGCAATCCTCTCCAATTACTATAATCCATATTTATAATACCAATAGCTACTAGAACTAGTAGTAGTTCTACCTCTTCCCCCTGGTTGTGGCTCCTAAAAGAATCAGACTCCTTTGATGCCAAGAACAATAGCCACATGATTTGATGATGGGCTATTCCTAACTTACTGTCTCCTGTTGNACTAGATTTTTTTGCAAGATTATATTAGTTTTAAGGATGAGAACAGTAAGACCCAGTACAAGAACCATCTGAAATGGTGGGAAAATAAGAAGAACCCATTTSCAACATTGGCTGATCTGGCAAGAAAGTATCTAGCTGCTCCAGCAACATCTACTAGTACTATTCCAGAGAATATAGTAATTACAATGTCAGGTAGGGCATACTAGTAGTAGAGGATTAGTAACAACCAACCTTGTACAAAGCTTGATCCTGGTGATATTGCAGGAAGGAATCTGCAACATGTTGATGAAAACTTCAATTGTTGGAATGAAAAAATCAGCAGACCATTACATAATAATAACAGCATAGTAGTGGGGGTACCACACCTATAATAGTGGTACTGATCATGGTACTACCACTAGTATCATGTAATCATACTAATAATGCATTTTATTGCTGGATTATTCTCCTCAATAACAGGTAGTAGTCAAGATGAAATGCATGGTGCAAAAATATGGGATCATTGTAACCCTATTTGGGGGCGAACATTGAGTGTTGAAGAACATTGTCAACACAACAATTTTCAAGCACTTCTTTTTTGTTATGGACCCATGCACTACCCCTACAACTTCTCCTTGCCTTCCTTCTTGTGGGGTCTTTTACAAGAACTTATAAGTAGGATACACACTACTAGTACCAATACAACCAATGTGCCGACCAACATGCACCATTGTTTAATTCCCAGAAACAAGATACACCTCCCATTGAGCTGGCATACAATTTTTCAGCACAGTGGTTGAAAACATTATAGGTAACCCATCTCATGATAGTATCATGAGGAGATTATCCCATGTTGATATTCTTAGTGTGCAATACCAAATCTAGTTAGTGGTGGATGCCTCTYCATGAACTAGATTTCCCACTTACTAGATCTAGTAGTAGTCCTTTATTAAGACCAAGCAAAAAGCCTACTTTTTAGTCTACTAAAGCAAACATATGGTGGCTCAATAGTAATGTTACTTGTGAGTGCATACAGATTTATTAGTTTCATGTTCAAGAAGAAGGTTTCATTCAAAAGAAAGTGAAACATGTAGTAGAGACTATTGGCTTCAGAATCAGCACAGCAGTGGTTCTTCTTGTTTCTGTATTTTCAAAATAGAAAATAAAGAAAATTCATGTTATTAACCAGGAAAGAATTGTCAAACTCAAGGATRTGYCATTGTTTCAAAAAGTTATCATA